CTTCTGTTTACTGATTCATCCTTCTGGGCGACTGACCTCATAATCTTGAAAAATGGCAAGCATTTATCTGCTGACTTCGATATGAACCGATGAAGAGCTACCACCCTTCCAGTCAACCTCTGTATATCTTTCATTGACTTCGGCAGTTTCATCTCGGCAATTGCTCTGATCTTCTCTGGATTGACCTCAATCCCTCTCCGGGAAACCATGAAACCTAGAAATTTTCCAGACTCCACGCCAAAGATGCATTTGGCTGGGTTTAACCGCATTTTGTTCTTCCTGAGATTGTTGAAAGTTTCATCGAGGTCAGTTAGATGGTCTTCTACTTTCAGGCTCTTTACCACAATTTTGTTGACTCAATGTACTCCAAGAGGGGGGGTGAATTGGAGTTCCAAAAGTTCTCCCCTTTTTGCAACCACAAAACCAAAATTAAAGAGAGTAGAGAAGAAGAGCTTACTCAATGATTTATAGAGGTTCAGTCTAACCACTTGGAGGCTAGTCCTCTACCTTGGCTTCACTCACCAATAATTTCCTCCGCACTCTCCACTAACAACAACAAGGGTGGCTTAAAGGAGCCACTCAATCCTTTTACAAAAATAAGGGTGTTTCTCTCAAATCTCACCCCTTTACAAGATAGACCCAAACAATCCTCTTTACAAATCACTCTTGAAGGAATAGTCACACCCCAAAGATTACTCACAAATAGAACAAGAAGAGGATTACAAATAAAGATCTCTCAAAGATCAAAATCTCAAGTTAAAGCACAAGTTGGTAGGTAAAGATATTCAATACAATGCTCTCTAAACCTCTTCAGATCTGTTACCGACCATATTTATATCCCCTTGCCAGAAAATAGCCGTTTCTAGTTGTTGGGGGTCATTAAATGCTCTGCAGGACGCAAAGCTTGAGCTGCAGGATTGTCAAGAGAGCCGGCTTAACTTTCTAGAGCCGGCTCACCATTTCTGCAGCCGGCTTTACGAGATTCCTGCACATTCTGTTTTTCTAGAGAGCAGGCTGCAAAACTTTGAGCCGGCTTTGGAATTTCGACTTTAAATACATTAAATACTCTTCAAAAGAGTCGACCGTTGTGCATTAAATGCACCCTCACAGCCGGCTACAAGGTTGGAACCGGCTTTGCGTCTTTTCTCCGTGTGCGCCAAACAATGTTCTTCAAATTTTTGCCAGTAGAGCCGGCTGCAGCTTCTAGAGCCTACTCTTTGCACTTCCATTTCACCAGAGCCGGCTGTAGCTTTTAAGAGCCGGCTCTCTGCACATTTTGAATCCTTTTGGTCTATTTTTAGTACAATCCAAGTTTACTTGCAATCTTTTAGGAACTTAACTACACACTTAAATAAACCAATTAGTCACTCAAATGTGTTTTGTAATCATCAAAATCATAGGTACAACAAATATCATCGACATAAACCTCTAGATTCCTGCCGATCTAAGCTCGGAAGACGATGGTCATCATTTTCTGGTAAGTAGCACTTGCGTTCTTTAAGCCAAATGGCATCAGGACATAGCAATAAATTTCGTCACTAGCATAGAACGAGGATTTCTTTTCGTCTTCTAGAGCCATTGGCACCTGGTGATACCCATAATATGCATCCAAGAGACTTAATCTCTCATTGCCTGATGCCGCTTCAACCAATTTGTCAATGCTCGGCATCGGATAGCAATCCTTGGGGCAAGCTTGGTTAAGATTTGTGTAGTTAATGCATATTTGCCATTTATCATTTGCTTTTTTCACCAGTACTGGGTTAGCCACCCATTCGCAATAGTCAACTTTTCTGACAAAACTAGCTTGTAAAAGCTTCTCTACCTCTTCCTTTATGGCCTGAAGTCTCTCCCCCCCAAAGAGACGTCGCTTCTGGGCCACTGGTCTCTTCAGTGGATTGGTACTGAGCTTATGTTGGGATACCGAAGGTGGAACTCCTGGCATGTCTGCCGAAGTCCAAGCGAAAACATCATTGTTAGCTCGGAGAAAAGCTATTAGCTCTGCTCTTTCCTCTGGGTTCAATCTAGTTTCAATTTGCGTCTTTCGGTTCGGATTTCTGTCATCAATGTGCACCTCTTCAACATCCTCAACTGGAGTAGCTTTGGTTTCATCTTCAGGTCGGTTGTCTACTATCTCAACTCCCATGACTTGCTGATTGTCCAAAATCCGTTGGGGAATAGCCTTCAGCATCTGTTCTTTATCTTTGTTTGGTCTCGTGACCGAGGTGATATAGCAATGTCTGGCCACCTCTTGGTTGCCCCGTAGTGTTGCTATCCTTATAGGAGTTGGGAACTTCATGCAGAGGTGAGATTGAGAAACCACAACTCGGATTTCAGTCAGCGTAGGTCTGCCAATTACAATATTGAAAGAGGACGGCATCTTGACAACTAGAAACCGAACGGAAGGGGTAACATATGTTCAGCCACTCCCAAAAGCAACATGGAGGGTAAGAACCCCTTCTACCTAAACTGGCTGGTTGTTGAAACCATAAATGGGACCATCATATCTCTGCAACAGTGCTAGATCCAGTCCGAGACTTTCAAAACAGTGGAAGTACATGATGTCTGGTGCACTTCCGGTGTCAACAAGGATACGTTGTACTTCACAATTGTTAATCATGACAGAAGTGACCAAATGATCATTGTGAGGTGTAACAACTGTGTCGAAATCATCAGATGTGAAAGTAATGGGTTGATTTTTCCAGTCAGCATCGTCAAACTTCCGTTTCTGAGCTCGGTTTTGATGCTTAACCTCTTTGACATACAACTTTCGCTGTTTAGAGCTCAGTCCACCTGCTTCCAGGCCTCCCGTAATCATGTGTATGATTCTAGCTGGTGGTGGGAGCGGAGGTGGGGCTTGCTGATATCCCACACCTTGCCTGTTTGGTGGATTGTGGACTCCTTGAGGCTGTGACCCCTGTTCTCTGACAAACCTTGGCTGTTCAGCTCTCTGAATGTACTCATTCAACATTCCTTTCTGAGCTAGGCTTTCCAGTTCAGGCCTCAGACTGTTGCATTGCTCTATTGTATGACCATGATCTTGATGAAAATCACAATATCTAGTATGATCTCGGCTAACAGCAGCAGTTCTCATTGGACTAGGACGCCTTAAGTCCATCTTGTTCTTAATCTGCATAAAGATTTGTGACCTCGGCAAGTTAAAAGGTGTCCAAGTAACTGAAGGTTTACCTGCAGACTATTGTGGAGGTGCTGGGTTCGGCCTTCCGAATCTCGGTATGGAAGTCGGCATCGGACCTCGGTTCTGTGCTGTCCTCATCCGTTTCCCGCTTGGATTCTTATCTCTTCAGTCTAGGTTTTGGTTCTTAGAGGGAGTTGGGTTCTGCGACAGGGCATATTCCTCAGCAGTTATAAATTTCAGAGACTTATCATTCACCTCACTAAAAGTGGTGGCAGGGTGTTTGATCAAACTATCTCTGAACCTTTCATGGTTAAGACTTGAGATCACAACTGCAATCCCCACAGCCTGGTCAAAGGAGCTAACCTCCAATACCGCATCATTGAATCTGCTCATATAATTCTTTAAAGATTCTCCATCCCTCTGTTTAACTCGCATCAACTC